TCCCTGAGCCAGCAGTTCCGGGCTGGCCTTCCAATTGGGATGGCCCCACCCACAGTTAGAAATGGAATCCACCAAGCTGTCCATGACACTCCCATGTGAAACTGAACCACGGGCTTAACCAAACAATAATTAACCTCGCTGCTCTGCACTGGGCTCTTGCATCTCACAGCCCAGGATGGCTGGCATTCCCCTCCCCATCCGTGCTAAACTCCAGTTGGCCAAGTACTTCCTTGGAGAAACAGACCCGGAGGAGGCTGTTTACAGCGGCATCCCCCCACCCCCGCCTCTCTGCCAGTAGGGGGATGGCTGCATATTGGGTGGATCCATCTGAAAGAGGACTCTAGATGCGTCAACGTGGAAAGACTTCAAGACTCCAAGAGGAAGTGCAGTGTGCAGCAAGAATGTTGAATCAAGACCTAGAGGGTCCCCCACCCATTCGTGGTGCCCCCCGGGGAACCACAGCTCTGGGGCAGGCGCTGGGGGAGGGAGGGTACCGAAGACAAGGATGCAAACTGTCCGGGGCAGGGCGATCAAAGGTGGAAGCGTGTGTTCGTTCCGGTTGGTAGATCCCTAAAGGCTGAGAACGAGCCAGTCTAGCAGAGATCTGCTGGTAGGCCCAGCCCGGGCCATAGAACAGTCGTTGCCGAGGACCTGGGGGTAGCCTTGGCATGGTCCAGGTTGTCGGATCAAGCAACAGAGAGGCAAGGGACGAGGTTAGGCAGGAACTTGGGTTGTACGTGCTAAGCAGGTGGGTAAGCTCAGGTTTAGACTGTCAGAACATCAATCAGTCGGGGATGTTTTGTTGGCTACTGGGGTGGGCAGGCGGTGAGCAAATGATGGGAGGAGGTGCTGTTATGCTAATCTCTTTTTATGGTGGTGTTTTTATTTATTTATTTATTTTAACTTTTTTCCATGACTTTATGGGCATCAAAGTAAAAACTTAGGTTAGACATTGCTTTACCAGGCCTGCATTGTATGTCTTAAATTCCAGTTCTTTGCTAGTATTCTTCTTTTTTTCTTACCACGTGGACATAATGTGACGAGGGTGCCACCTTCCAGACGTGGTAGGGGAGGTTCGTTGGGGCCGCAGCGTTGTTTGGGTCAGAGCTTTCTTTATTAGACCACATCGTCTTCCAGCGCCGTCGCATCGAAGACCTTCTGCAGGTGGACTGGCCAGCTTGGAAGCCTGTTCTTTCCTCTCCCAATTGAAGCAGTAGCGCTCCTATTGGCTGGCAAGTCAATGATTCAGAAGGAAAGGATTTCAGGAGGCTTGTTTCTGGATTTTACAGCAGTTATAGACTGGTAAGAGGAAACTAATATATTCCTACCATAAGGCTTCCATCAGGCTGTTGTTTCCATGGTTCGGTTCCGTTTGCCTTTCTGTGGGTAACCTGCAGCGGTGGGTCTCTGCGGCCAAATCCTTCCTGCTACTGGACTTATGTATTTTTTGTAAATCACGTCATTTTGGAGTAGAGCCAGGCTCCCTCGTTTATATCTTGTCTTTCATGTTACAGAGGCCAAGCTGAGTCACGGCAGAGGCCTTCTGGGCTGCAGAGTCTAAAATGCTTTCTGTGTGATCCTTCGCGAATAGGGCCTGTCAACCCTTGACCTACTAGCCTGACTATCCAGAGAGTATCGGAAACTCTTGCAAAGTGTGGAAGCGCGTTAGGTACTGCTGAGTGTTAACCTCCAAGAAGCAACAAATACGTGTAGACACCTTTCAGCACCAGATTGTGTGACCAGCTGCAGATAGATATCAGCACCCTGACACAGACACCATCGATTAGCTGGGGCGGTGATTTTAGGTGCTCTCTACTTGGTTACACTCGCAGCACCCCTGTGTGCCACAGCGGGAACCACTAGCCGCCCCCGCTCCGTGGTCATAAGTGAGCCCAGGGTCGCAGCCACTGCGCATCAGTCCATCTTGGGGAGGGGCTTCCTCTTCTTCGCTGCCCCGCCTCTCTACCCTGTGGTGGCTTTTGAGCGAACCCTCCACTTTACCAAGCCCGATGTCCTTCTCCAAGGACGGAACAGGTCCAAAGTAGATGAGACACAATCTCACCATCCTTGCTCCTAAGGAGCATTCTAGCTCTACTTCTTCCGAGACAGAGCTGTATGTTCTCCTGATAGTCTGAGGCACACCGAATATTCTTCACGAACACCGTCATTCAAGCGTTCTTTTATGAAAGTGCGTGAGACTGGTGCCTGCTCCTCTGGCTACTATGCCGGGGCAAAAGAGGTGGGCCTGTGAGGTGGCAGCTGCAGGGCTCTGGGCAAGAAGAGACGTGGGGGCAGAGACCAGAGTGGCCCCTATGGGAGGGAGATTTGCTGATGGACAGGAGGTGGGACGATGGAGCAGTGACTTGGGCTGATTTCCTGGGTCCATGGCTGTGGAGGTGCTTGGGGAAATGGACTTCCCAGGAGGAGCGGGTCTGGGGACAAGGTGAGCAAGAGGTGGTGTGGCATGGGGCCAACAGTAGGCCTGTGGCCCCCAGGGGAGGTGTCCACATGTGACTGAGTGGACAAACCCAGAGTTCAGGGGAGAGTCAGGGCTGGGCATCTTCAATTAGGGAGCCCTTTGCTGCACATCAAAAGTATTTAGAGCCTCTGGACTAGATGAGATCGCCCAGGAAGTGGGGGTGGATGAAGAAGGAGGGAGGGCCCAGGACCCAGCCCGGGGGCTGTCTTGTCTTTAGACATGGGTGGAAGACAGGAAGGGGCTCTGGTGGCTCCGTGGTTAAAGCATTCGGCTATTAACCCAAAGACTGGCCACTGGCACTCCCACAGCCTTGGAAAACCCAATGGGGCTTCGGCACACCCCGTCCGTCTGCCCTCCAGGGTTACCGAGTCTGAATAGGGTCAACCTCAGTGGGCAGAGAAAAAGAGACAACAGCAGCAAAGGGCCTTGGTGAGAGAGAAGGCTACAGAATGAGCTGCCAACCCCAAGGTCAGCAGTTCGAACCCACCAGCCACTCCATAGGAGAGAAATGAGGCTGTCTCCAGGCTCAGAAACCCACCGGGGCAGGTCTACCCTGTCCTAGGAGTCATTATGAGTCAGCATTAACTGGAAGGCATGGAGGTCAGCAAAGGACACTGAGAAGGACTAGGACAGTCAGCAGAACAGGAAGTTGCTCTCTCACACACGCTCCCCACCTCCCACCTCACCCCCAACCCCTGCAGCCCATCAGCACCAGCTCTGATTGGTCGCTGGATAGATACCAGGACACCAGCTCTGAGCTGCTTGACAGCCTCCTAATGGAAGTCCACTTGAAAGGTAGAGAGATTAGAGATAAAGGGGGTTGTCTCGGCTGACTGCCTATGCTAAATGAAACTTAGCTGGCCCTGCCATTAATAAAGGAGGAGACAGAAATCAGACACTTGTTAGACACCTATGGAGATTATCAAGTCACCTAGGCCCAGGTGAAGGGCACCCTGGGCCTACACACTCACACCAGAGACATCACGATCACAGGTACTCCTGAACCAGCCACGAAGATGAGCCAAGCATGCCCGGCCCCAAAGTAGGGATATAGGAGGGGATACATGGCAGACTGAGAGCAGGCCGCACTCTCCCTTGCAGGTGTTGCTCTTGCAGGTGGGAGTGTGGGATCTCTCCTGTGTGCGCACGCTCTCCACCCCAGCTTGTCTTCCGCTCTCAGTCGGGGCGCTCTGCTTCTGGGGGTTCCCCTTAACGGCCATTTTCCGTGTGGGTTTGCACCCTCCTCCAAAGAGGCCATTTTCAGTCGCAAACTCTCCCGTGGCCCCGGCCATGGGGCCTGGCACGCTTTCCAGAGGGAGTTTGTACCATTGGAGACTGAACTACCTGAAACTCCGCTTTCCCTCCAAAACGGCGTTTGCATGCCAAAAGTGCTCTTGCCACGTGCCTTCTTTCAGCGTTGCGAAGCAGAACGGGGAAACCCATTCCAGAAACCGAACACACTCCGTCCACCGTCCACACTGCCTGCTGCCACAGTGTGGGAAACACCCATCTGGCCAGAACTTTGCGCACGCACACAGCTCCGCTGGGATTAGCCCTCCGTCCACAGTCTGGCCCTGCTGGCCAGCAGCAACATCGGCCACACAAACACACACACAGTGCCCACAAGCACACACGAGCAGGCACTGTAGCCTTCCCCAACAGCCACCCCTTCTCCCTGAAAGCAGGGCTCACCTCCCACACCAAACCTTTCCCAGGCTCCCTTGTAGTGCTGGCTTGGGCATGGGAGCCAACCCTGGGAGTGTAGTGTGCTGGAGGCTTCTGGGAAAGACGGGGCGGTGGGGGGGTTGGGGGGGGATGCAGAAGGCTCCATGCTCCATTGTTGGGTGCAAGACTGACGATTCAAACCCACCCAGGGGTGTCTGGCCACGTGCTTCTGAAAGGTCACAGCCCTGAGCCCCGGTGGAGCCCTTGGACTCAGGGACTTTCCATGGCTGGCCATCAACTCAGCTGCTGCTGGTTTGGTTCTGGGTTTGAGAAGAAACTCCCGCCCCTTCCTTGCCTGCCTCAGGGCTTTGTGTATGAGGCCGGAGCTCCCACCAGCCTCTGGTGGCCCCAAGACACAAGAGGGGCAGACACACCCAAGCCACAAACCCTTTGTCCTTCAGTCCGTCCCAGCTCCCAGCAGCCCATGGGACCGAAACTCTGCAGGGCTTCCGAGACGGTATCTCTTTAGGGGAGCAGACAGCTCCATCTTTCTCTCCCCGGTGGATTGGAACCACCAGCCTTATCCCACAGGCCACCAGGGCTCGTCTACAGACAGACAGGCCGGGGCATGAGTAGAAGGGATGAGGCCAGTCTGGTGACCGTACGACCATGCAAAAAGGCAAATCAAGGCCGGCCACACAAGCCACTCGGAGCTGGCTTTCCTGACGTGACTCTCGAGCAACCCACCAGGTCCCCACTGCTCAAGTACACGCCCCCTGCCCGTCCACCCCAGCCACGGAGAGACACGTCTTTTCCCCCAAGCCCATGCCCTGCGCGTGCTCCTGTCTGACCTCACCTCTCCCCTACGAGGGCCTCCTGTAAGCCTTGGCTGTTGGCGGAAACCTGCAAGGCCAGGTGGCAGTTTGGAAATGTGAATAGAGGCTTTCATGACCCTCCCCCACCTTCCTGTTTCCCCAACCTCAAACCTTTGCCCCCATCCTGGGGGAGCAGCTGGGCATTTCCAGTCAAAGACACAGAAAAGGACTTTGAGTTCCAAACCCTGAGGGCTGGAGGGGACTACAAACAAAAAAAACTCACAGCCACCGAGTGGCGGCCCAAGAAGACAGGGTGGAACTGCCCCTGTGGGTTTCGGAGAGAGTGAAGATGGAACGGCGGGTGGTCTTAAACAGCTGACCTTGCATCACCAGGACACTCCCAGGGCTCCGGGGAGGGGCCGGCAAGGTGATGGAGTAAACCAACCGGATGAGGCACACAGGAAGACATCAGCTGGGCCGGCAGGGAGAGAAGGGAGGGAAAGGGCAAAGGCTGTCAGGAGGGAAATTAGTGGGATCTGGAGATGACCACCCTCCCCCAAGGTCCCCTGCAGCAGCTCCTGCCCTCCGACAGAACCCAGGAGCCATCCCAGTAGGAGTCCCAAACCATGCGGTCACTGAATCCACACACCACTAAGTGAAGGCCATGGGGGCTCCCTGGGCAGACCTGGGAGGGGCTTCCCTGGGGCAGCAGGTGCCACCCCTGGCTGCTCCAGCAGGACAGGCAGGGGCCCACTCACCTCCTTCCATCTTTCTCCCAACCTCCCTCAACAGCACACCCACCCCCTGCTTCCCCACAACAAAGGAGAGTCGTGCAGACCCCAGGGGTGGAGGCACTGGCTTAGAAGGAAAAGCTTGCACAACTGCATTTAGGAGATCAAGAGATAGCGAATAGAACTTGGGCAGGAGTAAACACCTCCAGCTATCTCCACTCCCACAAGAGAATGGGCAGGGGTGGGGCTGGGGGTGACTCATCCCCCTGGCCCCAGGGCCCTGCCCTGGGCCTTGTAAGCAGGTGAGGTGCACGAGAAATATTTATTGGCCTCAACCCAGGACAAGGTGTCCGAGATGGCACCGACCCGGATGGTGGACTGGCCCAGTCATAGCCTCCGCCTCTACCTGCCCACTCCCTGCTCAGTGTGATGGGGGCCAGGCGGCCAAGACAACCAAGCGGGGGTTACAGGGTAGGGCCTCCATCCAAACTGAGATTGGCCTCATAAATCTATTTAAGCCACTGCCAGAGGGCTAGGAGCCCTGGTGGCGCAATCCCATAGATGCATTGGGCTGCTAATCTCAAGGTCAGGGGTTCAAACCCAGTAGCTGCTCCTCAGGAGAAAAGATGAGGCTGTCTGCGCCATACAGATTTACAGCCTTGGAAACCCTCTGTAGGGTGGCTATGAGTCTGCATTACCTTGAGGGTAGTGGGGACAGGATCCCCTCGGGTTTTCATTGTGATTCATGGGGGGTTGGATTCCACTCACTTACTTTGGACACCCGGAAAGACTGATGGCCAGGAAGGGATTTATTCTGTTTGGTAAAACCAAGAGTCCGTGGAAATGAGGAAGCCCTCGATGGGGTGGATTGACACACTAGCCACTACCATGGCCTCAAGCCTATCAACAGTGACCAAGATAGCGCAGGCCAGGGGTCGCCTGATTCATCACAGTGGCAAGATGACAGTGATGAAATAGCAAAGAAAATAATGTCATGGTTGGGGGTCCCCACAAGAAGAGGAACTGTCAAAGGGTCACAGAATAAGGAACGTTGAGAAGACTCTGTCTAGCGGCAACAGCACACAGGGGTTCTGTTGCTTTGCTCTCGTGAGCAAGAAGGGAAAAGTCCGATTTCGGTGTAAGCTGATGTCTTGGACTGGGTTTCCTAAGAAGCAAAACATACATATGTTTGTCTCGAATGGCTCACATGGTTGTAGGGGCTAGCAAGTCCCAAGTCCATGCAGCAGATATCAGGTGGGAGACACGTCTTGACTCGCAGAGCTGCAGGGATGACACCCAACATCAGTAAGGTGAGACGACAGGTGCCTGGCTCACAGGATTCAGCGGCCAGCAACATGGCTCAGTCTAGTGAAGCCAAGGTTAGGTGATGGTAAGGGGCCAGATGCAGGAGGCAAACAAAAAGCCGGAGGGCTTGACCCGAACATCCCTCTATTTTGGAAGCAGGCTGCACTCCAGAAAGAAAGAGAAAAATTGCTTCCAACTGATTGGCTGCTCATAGCAGAGTGCTTCCAACTGATTGGCTGCTCGTAGCAGAGCTCCACATGGAAGTGATTACATTAGTCCAGGTCCCATCCTGAGGGATGCTGCCATTGTTGGTTCATCCTTAGGTGCCTTCGACTCTATTCCAACTCATAGTGACTGTATGCACAACAGCACAAAACACTGCCCGGTCCTGCCCCATCCTCACAATTGTTCTTTTTTTTTAACACTTTATTTTATAAATCACTTTCTTGGGCGCTCGCACAACTCTCATCACAATCCATCTGTCCATCCATTGGGTCAAGCACATGTGCTCGTTCGTTGCCATCATCATTCTCAAAACACGTTCTTTCTACTTGAACCCTTGGTATCAGCTCCTCATGTACCCCTTCCCTCCCAACCCCCCCATAATAATAAATTATTATTATCCTCACGGTTATTCTTATATGTGAGCCTATGAGGGATGGGTGGCTACATTGCGACTGTCGAATCACGGAGCGGTTGATGTGCAACCTTCACCATCACAGTTGGGGACCACTGACACCTGGGCTTCCTTCACTACCTCCGTTCCCCAGAACCTGCTTTTTAAAAAATACTTTTATCGGGGGCTCTTACATCTCTTATCACAATCCATGCATTCATCCAGTGTGTCAAGCACATTTGCACATATGCCGCCATCATCATTTTCAAAGCATTCTCTTCCCACTTGAATCCTTGATATCAGCTCCCCATTTCTTCCCCTTCTCTCCCTCCCCTGCCCGCCCTCACGAACCCTGGATAAGTTATAGATTATTTTTTCCATATCTTACATCGTCCTCTGTCACCCCTCACCCACTTTTCCATTATTCATCCCCTAGGTTA